TAGGGTTTGGGGTCTAGGGGTTTGGGGTTTGGGGTTTCGGGTTTAGGGTTCAGGGCTTTCCCCAAAATGTGCCTTGCCGACGAATTTGGGCCTTAAATCAAGGCCCAATGTGGGCCAAACCTTAATGAAATTCGTCGGCAAGGCCCAAAATGCGCCTTGCCGACGAATATCCGAAAAAATGAAAGTGAAACATTTTCTGAATGTTACGGGATTCTTCGGGCGGGTGGGTGTTTTTCCATCGCTTGACAAGCTGCTTGACGAGCGAATGCTTGGACTTGAGATGCTGAACCCTAAACCCTGAACCCTAAACCCCAAACCCTAAACCCTAAACCTTAAACCCTCGCCCTAAACCCTAAACCCTAAACCCTAAACCCCAAACCGTGAACCCTAAACCCTAAACCCTAAACCCTAAACCCTAAACCCTAAACCCTAAACCCTAAACCCTAAACCCTAAACCCTAAACCCTAGCCCTAAATCGGTTGGGAGTTTTGCCGCTGGGCAGCCGTGCAGAGGATGGGCCGGCAGGCCTCGATGGCTCTGACGGGGCTGGGGGATTTAGGGTCTAGGGTTTAGGATTTAGGGTTTAGGGTTTAGGGTTTAGGGTTTAGGGTTAGGGTTTAGGGTGCCGGTTCAGCGGTGCCGATTGACCGAGAATGGAAAAACACCGGTGGCGATTGTTCAAGATCTGAAAAACACCGGGGGCCCGATTGCTCAAAATCCGACTAAAATCTAAATTCTACTCGTTTAAGAGAGGGTGTAGGGAATCAGGGTTCAGCACCTCCAGTTCGAGCATTCTCTGGTTAAGCTGCTGAATCCTTTCGTGTGTTTAGGGCTCAGGGTGTAGCGGTTCAGTGCTTCAGGGTGTTTAGGGCGCGTTCAGTGGTGTTTGGGGTGTTTAGGGTGTTTGGCCTTAGGCATCCTCAAACACTTAAACTCTATAAGCACCCAAACCCCAGCCTTGCCCCGGCCTTGAACTCCAAATCCAAAACCCCAGGCCCTACATCCACAACTCCAGACCCTACACCCTGTTCAACCGTAAGCCCTAAACTCTAACTTCTCAACGCTACTAAGCCCACACCCTCAGCCTCAAAGTGTAAACCCGAAACCCTAAACCCTAAAAGAGTCCCTTAGGATTTATGGATTAAGTGAACTTTACATGTTCTCAATGTTACGGGATTCTTTGGGCAGGTGAGTATTTTTCCATCGCTTGACAAGCTGCTTGACGAGCGAATGCTTAAACTTGAGATGCTGAAGCCTAAACCCTGAACCCTGAACCCTGAACCCTGAACCCTGAACCCTAAACCCTAATTCTTGCCTGTCCGCTTCTACGGCGGTGATCCTCAGGATTTATCAGAAGCTCAGGCCCCTGTCATCACTCACATTGTCACCTTTTGCACAAAAACCACGTAGCCAGCATCACGGAGGGTAAACTGAAAGATGCAAAGGCTGTCTCATGGACAGCTTCGAAGCAGAACATGCCAGCTAGGCACTTGCATCCTCACCCTTAGGGTTGGGACGGGCGGGCCATAACTTTTCGAACTATGTGCATGACTGCTGACTTGAGCGGCGGGGCAGGAACGGGAGTGCTGCCAGTTGACAGATTCACAGCTTCCCCTGCCTGCGATTTCGACGCGTTACGAGCACAGTAACTCTGACTCCTCCCAAAACGCTCAGCAAGAATATGGGGCGCATTCTTGCCTGTCCGCTTCTACGGCGGTGATCCTCAGGATTTATCAGAAGCTCAGGCCCCTGTCATCACTCACATTGTCACCTTTTGCACAAAAACCACGTAGCCAGCATCACGGAGGGTAAACTGAAAGATGCAAAGGCTGTCTCATGGACAGCTTCGAAGCAGAACATGCCAGCTAGGCACTTGCATCCTCACCCACTCTCCCGGCACTGGCTAGCGACTGTCGTGGTCGCAGCCGCTATTTCAAGTGTTCCAAAACCAGCAGAGGAATCAGAACTGCAAGCCACTGCGCGCGCCACGTCTCCAAGCGCAGATTGCGCCAGTAGCAAGACTCACTGAGCGAGCAAGGGTCCACAGCACGTCACGGCTTGCACATCTTGGCGTGCGTCGTAAGCAGCAAGCGCCAAGGTACCCACTTCTGTACCATCAGCTTGCGGCCCGGAAGGCACAGTTGGACATGTGATGCCAGCATACTGTACAAAAAACAAATTCTGAGGCGGTGCCTGAACGCTACAGCAAGCTTGTGCACGTCATGCCAGATGCGAACGCAAGGCAGAAAGCTTACCCAATCAGACATCCCCTGCGTTAACTGTTGGTTGCAGTCATCACTTCGGCGAGTTGCAAGGCACCAAGTTCAACGGCGGTGAAGAGACCTGAAGGCGTCTGACGCCGCGCGACGGCCAATCTCACAGATTCTCAGCAGATGGGACCAACACCAGGTACACTTGCAAGTCTCCTGCTAACTCTAGCGCTGCTGCCTTCCGCAAAAGCCTGTTGAGCTGGGTGGAGGACCTGCCCTTTGCTGCTGCTCCCAGCCAGACTGCGCTGTCCACAAGCACAACTAGCCTTGAGCAATGCCGACGTCGAGACCGCAGCACCCAGCGCAACCAAATGAGAAAAGCTTCACCCTCAAGCACGTTGATGTGAGCACCTTTGCGAGCTTTAATGCTGAAGATGTCCACAAAGTCGCTCAAGCTAATGTCCAGGTGGTGTGCCTCCCCGAGGCGTTTGGCCTGCGCACCGGTCACAGTCCCACCATCCAAGACCACATAATCGCCTTGCTTCTCAGCCACCCTAGCAAGACGACGAACCATTTGGATGGGAAGCTGAGCCACGCTCGCTCCGAAACCATGTGTTGTGCTTGCGTCAGTGGCTGACAACAACGGCAAGAATGGTTTACCGCTTGTGCCAAATTCGGTTTGAACCCAAAAGCCAAGATCCCAAACACGGAGAGGCAAAACTCAGAACGAGCACTGCATGTCCCTCTTCTTCTTTTCATCAGTGGGCGAATCAAAGATCGCATTCTATCATGTGCCGGTGCACACAGCGCGGTGCACATACATTGCACATGCGTCTCACCATACACAAACGAACCTCAAGAACCTCAAGCCCCCTTTAAGGGCGAGGCAGCTGTACACGCAATACCAATGGGAGTGCCGATGGCACGCAGGGAGTTGCAGCCGCCGCGGCGGGCCCTGCTACTGCGATGCCCTGGGTGGGCTGGGCGGGTCAAAATTTTTGGCACTGAGCTGCAGAGCCAGTGCTGCACACACATCTTCCTGCATATGCAATTGCAAATCGTCGTTGGCATTACCAAGCGTGACAAGCATCAGAAACTTTTGGGCTTCAAACCAAGACCAAACGGCACACCGTTTTTCTTAGAGACAATTTGGCAGCAATCGATAAAACACCATTCGCTCGCGAACAGTAAGCTTACCGCTTGTGCCAAATTCGGTTTGAACCCAAAAGCCAAGATCCCAAACACGGAGAGGCAAAACTCAGAACGAGCACTGCATGTCCCTCTTCTTCTTTTCATCAGTGGGCGAATCAAAGATCGCATTCTATCATGTGCCGGTGCACACAGCGCGGTGCACATACATTGCACATGCGTCTCACCATACACAAACGAACCTCAAGCCCCCTTATTAGCCGACAGTCCCAAGCATATGGCATCCAGGTGCTCCGACACATCGGAACACGGGACACTGATGCCACCCCACAACAGGTGCTTGGACACCAGCCTCGACGGGAGATCCTTTTTCATTCTAACGCGTTCACTGAGTCAGTGATTCGGCGGGCGCAACACACACAGTTGGTGTGGCCATTATGGCGCGCCGGACACCTACCGCCGTCCATGGCGGCGCGGACTATTGCCGCGAAAAGAAAAGTATGTACCAGTTGCGATTTATATGCTGTACATCCCTAGCCGTGGCGTTGAATGGCGTCCTACCATCATCTACCATCTGTAGGGCCGAAGTTGCGGCTCCTTTGTCAAAGGCCTCAGCAATCGCCTCCACCTCAGAAGAAGAACTGCTCTGTGGTTTGAGACAGAAGCATCTATAGTGCCCAGTGTGTGGGGTGTCCCCTGTGTGTACAACTCCAGAGATGAGCCGGTATTCGCTCGTGCTGAGTTGTTGGGTATTTCCGTCTTTGAAAAAGGGAACTCTGATGACTGGATTGACGGTGACCGGGCTGCGGACCTTCTTAATACGACCACCCTTTTCCTGAAATCGTAGAAGCTGTATACTGAGTATCACGGGAACGTCAGCCAGTGCGGTCACATATTCCTCGTTGCGAGGTCCCGGCTGTACGCTCCAGGAGTTCAGCGCCAGCTGTGTCGTGGTCTGACCTGTGCATGGCAGAGGGATCAGAGGCACCGCCGTGTTCCAAGCCCGGACTGTGGCCGGCTCCCGTTCACTAACTCCGGAAACCCTGGACTCCCAGCTGCCCAGCAAGATCCTAGGGACCCCGTCCTTTGTTAGATGTTGCAGAAGTTCTGCAGCATCATGCTGCTGGTGGAGGTCACGCCAGCCTTGCAGAAGCTGCATGCAGTCCTTTCTCCTGCTTAGTTGCTGGGGCTTGACACATTTGGTCAGCGCATTAAGCATGGGGCGTAGACATCCAAAGCCCGCTTTGTCCGGCGGCCTGACTTGACCAAACAGGTGCAGCAGTGCTTGGATCATGGAGTTGAGGTAGCAAAGGTTGGATGGGTTTTCAAGCACACAATGCTGATGTTGCATAGGGCATGGTGCATCAGTGACTTTTTCCCCCTGGCCCTCTGCTTTCTCCTGGCTATGGGATTTAGCGTCCGCCCCCTGTGCTGGCTGACCTGTCCCCTTCAGCCATTCCCCTATGCTCCGTGATCTCCTTGAACCAGGACCACTGTCGCTAGGCTTGGTGGGGATGTTGGGGCCGTGAGGCGGCTTCCCGGGGTAAATATTCTTTGCAAGATCACGGTGCAACACACCCTCAGGCAGACACTCCAAACCCAACTTGCCCTTACTAGTCAAAATACTTTGGCAAGAAGGCTTCATTGCCGTCTTGTCGCGTCGATGGCCCGCTGTAGGTCCTCTGGAAGTGGCTTGTGGCTTCTTTCCGGGCGGATCCTGGCTCCTATGAGCGCGGTGGCCGCTGTCTCCGTGAGAGCATGGAGTGCCTTGTTGATGTTGGGCCGTGCATCGGCGTCCAGGGAGACTGTCAGCACGAACGTCGTGGCTCCTGGCCTGTCCTCCTTTACTCCGCCTAGAGCATGGAAGCGCTGGATGACGTTGGGCTTGACGGCCTCTCGCATCAGCAGTTGAACTGCCTCCTTTGCATCCTGATGAGAGAGCAGGTTGCCCTCTCTGGGCTCCTGGAGTTTCTTGTCCGGATTCCATCTCGTGTACGACCACGCCATTGGTTCTGCTACGAGCATCTTCCTCTGAATGAGTGGCGCCTGTGCCGCCTTGTCTCCCTCCATCTTCGCAAGCCGAGCTTGCAGCTCCAGCAGGAGCGATCCCAGGAGAGCCTGGCGAAGGCTGCAGGTGCACTTGTTCTGCTCTCGGCTCTCCTTCCAGGTGGCCGTGGTCTTGACCAGCTGAGGTATGATGCCCATCGCTCCAGAGTCCATCCAGAGGACCCAACTTCTGTCGGCCTCCAGCAGTTGCAGCGCCATGGCGTGCTGGCTGACATACTTGGTTAGAACTTGCACTTGCTTTGCCAGCTGCTGGTTTGGGGCCGGGATCGGCTCCCTTTTTGCTTTGCCTGGGCCTTTGCCCTCCCTGCGACGGAATTTCCGCCCCTCGCCGTTCTCCTCCTCGGTCGGCCTGTCCCTCATTATGAGTTCCATCGGGCTGTGCTGCCCCCACATGTTCGCCACTTCCTGCAGTGCCTGGTCGTCCATGGCGCGACAGAAATGCGATTTGCAAGAGTGGCAGGCACTTTTGAGCGTGAACCCTCGGGGTTTTGTGGTAGGTTACTCCGCAATGCCGGCATGGTCTAGCTAGCGGTAAACCGTGTACCAGCTCTGCAAATCCCTCAGCTCGCTTCCAGGCCTCCTTGTGCTGGTTGGCACAGTGTCGCCTCCAGTCCTGTTGATTCGTCAATCGCTGAAGGCAAAGTCCACAGTGCCGTGTCAGCATGTCAATGACCTCGCTGTCTCCTGCCTCCATTTTGCCCTGCCTGTGCACGTCGGGGTTGAGTTGCCTGGCAAGGAACTCATCAGTGATGCAAGTTCTCACATCCCTGGCGACGGGGGCCGTGTCCGGCGCCCCAACCTTATGCCATGCTGTGGCTAAGGCTGTTTGGAAAATAACCGTGCAGCTCCGAGTGTGCCTGTCGGGTTGGTACACCATGACCTCACAAAGGTCGCAGACACTGTCACGGGTGAGGTGAGATTTATACATCGCACACTCAGTGTCCAGGTTGCCAATACTTGCATGCCATATGTGTGAGTGCATTCTCTTGATGTGCTCCTTAACCGAGCCTCCCTTAGCGATCCACTGTCCACAGAAGCCACAGTGCTGGATGAGACTCCTAGCGTGATCTCTGACGATCTGCAGCTTAGAGTCCGACTGCAGTAGTTGCTTCGCCACTTCAGGTCTACGCAACAACGGGATCGTCGGCTCCTTCTGGGCAGGCTGTACCGGTTGTTGCCGAGCGATTGTGCTCGAGGGATGGGTGTCTTCATGTATGCGTGGGTCCCTGTCTGATTGACCCCTAGGGGGGGTAGTGATGTCCTGCTGTTCGGCCTCCCGAGTGGGGCCGGGTGGCATCTGCCAGCCACAAACGTTGTTGAGGATGTGATTCCTCAGCGCGTCCCATGAACCCGTCTTAAGACCACAATGAATGCACTGTGGCATGCCACCAGCAGAGTGATCCTGTTGTTGATACATGTCATCATCATGCCGGCGCGAGCTCACATACACCTTGTGGACCCTTCCCCTGTGCTGTCTCATTGTTTTGTTTGATGGGAAGTACACTCCGCAGACTGGGCAGGCCACCGGCTGCGATTGTTGCGCGGGCACCGGGATCAGCCTGGAGTCGGGCTCCGCATCGATGTTTTCTGTGTGGAAGATGAGGTATTGCTGTAGCATACTTTCCCAATACTGGAGAGTTTGTGGTTGGTTGATGATGCTCGCGTCTGCGACCCGAAGCTTATCAAGTTTATGCCGAATCCGTTGCACAGTGGCATCTATAGGATCCTGAACCCCTAATCTTTGCCGAAGTTGCTTGTTAGTCTCATGCGAGATGTGGGCAGGTGAGTCCGCAACGGCTCTTAGTTGACGATAGAACCAACCCCTGAGGAGTGCCACCGCCTTGGCAGAGGGCGCGAAAGCAATGAGGCCAAATGTAGCACTCGATGCAGCACAGGCCTGCCAGATGCGTACTCTATGCGCTAGGCCGAAGACTTTCCTGGACCTGGTCGCCTTTTTGATTTTGCCAGTTCTCTTGTTAGCTTCAGCAATACGGTAGCCTACCACTTTGTGCGCTTCCGTTTGGAGGGAAAGGTGCGTCCCTAGGTATGTAGTGTAGCAGGCAATGGGGATTAGCGCCTCGCTCCCATCAGGGTGTCGCGCCCGCCACCATTTTTTCCCGTCCTTATACACTACATAGTCCTTGAGCGCACGTCTGGCCCCAGGTCCGCAAACTTTCAGGAGCAGGACTGTTTTGGTAAGGTTAACCAAAAGCCCCATGTCCTGCATGACCCCCAGAAGTTTGTTAATGAAACTGCTAAGTTGGGCAATGTCCGTGGAGTTTTCAATGAGCCATTGCACTAAGGTATCGTCGGCAAAAGTGGTTGCTTGTCTGTGGGGGCCTGAGAGGGCATCCCCCAGCCGCTCCAGCAAAAGGGTCGATATTGCCACCCAAAGCATGGGGGCGATCTTACATCCTTGGCGGATGCCTCGCGTTGTACCCACTGTGCTTTGTTCCTGATCACTGATGATGTGATACCGTGATGTGTCTAGGAGGGAGATAATCTCGGCCGTCATGCTTTCTCCCGCACCAAGGTCTTTTAGCGACTGGGCTAGTGCTTGACGGTTAACTCTGTCAAATGCCTGTTTGAGGTCAAGGCTGAGGATGGCTCCCCCGACGCAGAGTTTTGTGTTGTCCGGATTTTCCTCCCTGTCCCTTTGGGCGAATTTGCTGCTGTTTCCTCGTCCGTAACACCTTTTGAAGTTGTCAATCCACACCTGCACTCTAGCCAAAGCATCGTACAAATCCCTCCCCGGCTGATAGGCAAACTGCGGCACCCTGCGCAGCTGGGGCCGAATCAGCTCATAGAGTCTGATTTTGAGAAGCCCTGCAAGGGCTTTGGCATCAGGAGACATGAGGCCTATTGGCCTGAGCGATGAGGGCTCGCATGGGTCTTTGCCCGGCTTTGGGAGCCAGACTATCCACGCGTCGGTCCACTGAAGAGGGAGTGTGATCCCTGGTTGGTGAGAATGCTGGTCAAAAGCCATCTTCAGCAGCCTCGCAACCTGTGGGGCCGCTAATCGCCAAGCAGAAGCAGGAGCTACTCCTGGAGGGACGGCTTTCCCAATCTTGATGGACTTCAGCTGCGATTCAATTTCCTCAACCGTGAAAACTAAGTTAAGACCTTGCTCCTCCCTAGCCGGCTGCTCTGTGTCCGGAGCGAAAAGGTCTTCGCTATAGCTCACCAGGGCTTCGTGCTCCTGTTGGAGAGTGAGGAGTCGGCCGCTTGGGTCCTTAATCATGACCCGTTGTCTAGGTTGCCAGGGTGCTAATCTCCGAACAACCTGATACACGGTTCGTTGGTCCCCGTTATCAGCTGCCTGCTCAGCCTTTTGGAGTAGTTGGAGGATGTCTTCGCGCTTCTTTTCTTTGCATTGTTTCTCAGCAATTTTGACTTGCTTCCGCAGGGCAACCGTAGCTTTCCATCCCCGAAAGAGTCTGGATAGGAAGTACCACCAGGGGTTGTTTTCCAGGTTTTCCCTTTCCGGCTCCCTTGGGGGCCGTACGGTGACGTACTCGGCCTCCCTTCGCTTCTGCCATAAGTGCTGCACAATGGGGTTGGGTGGAGGGTTGGGTTTCCTCTCCAATGGGTAGTGGTTCTGGCAGGTGTCAAGAAGGGTGGAGTTGATGTTGGCTGGGGTGGGGTCCGTGAGGGCATTGAGGGCTGTCGCAAGGGCAAGTTGCAGGGTATGTGCCCCCTCCTCCCGATTACGTATCTCGTGATCCAGTTTGTGCCTGTCCAGCTGGGGGTTCGTGGATCTTTTGGGGAGCATGTGATGGTTCATGAGACGGATGGTTGTGTGAAGCGCCAGGTGACCGACGTGCCGTCTCCAGTTGCCAATTGGTGGGGCTGTCACTTTGACATTCTTGGCTTCCCAATCAGCAGATATGGCTCTGGTCAGGATGAAGTCGATTTGGCTCTTTCCCGCCCCCCGCCCCCCCGTTAAATTGTACTGGGTAGGCGTGGCTGGACCGCGCCATGTGTTAAGGGCAACCAGACCGAGATTATCCAGGAACGTGTTGAGGTCCCCGGGGTCCAGTGCGTCTGCCCCGACATGGAATGGGGTCTGGCAGGTTGAACGACCGACTAATGGAGCATGTGGAGTGACTTCAGCCTGGAAATCCCCCACCACAACCACCGTGTTGCGCATGGAGAGGCCCCTAACACAACCACTTAGTTTTTCAAGGAGTTTAGCCCGTTTTTCCCGCAGGACTTCGGGGCGTTGTGCAAAATTATGTGGGTGCTGATAGCAATTAACCAATTCGACCCTCCCTTGTGCTGTCGAGATCTGTGTGCGCAGGACTCTACCTGGAATCACCTCCTCATGCCGGATGTGTGTTGCTTGGTGTCTCGGATGCACCAAGGTGAGAACACCATCAGCTCTGGCAGCTGTTCCTGAGTGTACCGCAAACCATCCTTCCAGTTTGTATGTGGAGCTTGTGCTAAGGTGCGTCTCCTGCAGGCATATGAAGTCGTATTTGGTACTTTGCTGTTTGAGCAGCTCTCGGAGTTCTTGCCACATGAGGACCGATAGAGCTCCGACGTTCAAGGACAGGACATGAATCCTTGCGATCCCGTGTCTACCTCCCCGCGCGCCTCTTCTCTTATACTGATCCAGCGGCACTCTCTGCGCTGCTCGCACCTGAACATCAGGAAGTTGTGACCGCGTGCACCATTTCCCTCGGTACCAAGCCCCTCCCTGCACTCTAGCTGTGTGAACTGCTCTACGAAGCGCTCTCTTGGATCCCGGTAGGGTGTGCGCATGATCGGCAATGTGATCTGTGGCAGGTGCAGACCGAGCTCCCTGCCCAAGGCATAGGACGCACAGCAGCCTCAGCGCGCGGCTCCATATAGTACAATGTGGCGCTGTTAGTCGATTGTGTCGTGAGTGTCGCGTAAGAGGTGTCTCTTTGGCTCGCTGCATGAAGCTGTGTCTCGCCACGCCTAGGAGACATGTGCTAAGCAGGAATGCACATGCACTGTGGAAAAACGGCGTCCTGCCCGGCACATCCATTAAACAATTTTGCGGCTCCCACACGGGGCCGAGGCTCATCCCTTCTCTCAGCCTTTTAGTCATTTCCAAGTCGTTCTTCCATTGCCTCCCAGTGCTGGAGGAGCTTATGGGCTCGCCGTCTTTGGTCTGCCGGTCGTAGTGCCCTGAGGTCATGTAAGAAGGCCTTGCACATCTGATTGGATGTGAGTGCCGGCGCTGCGGGGGACTCTGATGCCTTCTTCGGCTCCTTGTAATCGTCCAGGTCGATGATCTGGCTGGTGTCCGCTGCTGCACGGAGCACCCATTGCTGGGGTGTCCTCGGCTCCTTCGTGGGGCCGTCAATCTGCTGCTGGCCATCACCAGAGGCCGTCTTTTCTGTCCGTTGCCTCTTTGAGGCCGGGGGCCCCACTGTCTCATCTTCCGTTTTGCTCCATTCCAGGAGCTCGGCTGCCCCTCTGGGAAGACGATGTCGGTGGATGGGTTGTGGGACCTCAAGGGCCGCTGGTCGTGATGGCCACCATAGCATAAGCTCCTACTGACTGCTAATTGGCAGCGAAGAGCTGCACTAAAGGCCGATGGTGGTACCTTTACAGGGCAAGGGATGGCTGCCGTCATGGCACTTAGCTCATGCACTGCAGCTTGTGTGTTCCTGCTTCCATGGAAGTCCATGCAGCAGATTACGCAACTGAGGTACAACCAGAAACAAATATGCATAAGTTTTGGTGTCCGGCATAAAGGCGCGCCCCCCGCCATCTTCCCACCTGCGGAAGTGCATGCGTTGGTAGCATGTGTAGGTCCTTCCCCCGTGGGGGGCCCGGGGGAAACCTTCACCTCACCCTTGCCTTGGAATGTAGTCTTCTTCTTATTGTAGTAGGAAGGGCCGGCGGACTTAGGACCGCCGCGGTGACTGAGGAATTTCTGGTAAACGTCGTGAATTCGGAGGGGTGTATGGAGGGGTCTGCGTTTGTACTTTCCTTTAGTGCGTCTATGCGTTATCCACTTATTGCCCGGCTTAGGTTCGTTCCTATATCGGATCAGTAGTGAAAACGCAGTGCACCACCCCAGCAAAATCCCCCTAGGCCAATCCTCCTTAGATCTCCTAGATTCAGTCGACCACTGATCGTCTTCCACTGAGGGGTTGGCAGATCCGGCTCCCCAGCAGGGCCGTGCATGTAGGATAACTGCCTGCGGGCGGTTGACATGCTCCGGGGGCACTGATGTGGGGATAGGCTGGGATTTGGCTAAGAGGGTGTGCATGTGGTGGCTTACACGCATGTGAGTTGTCGGATAGTGCCTTTTCTGTGCAGCATATCTGATCTGCTGATCGTTGCTATTCTGGGACCTGGTGTTATTCCTGGGCTGTCCAACTCCTAGACCTGCGCCCTGATTTTCACCAGCCACGAAGGAATCGATCACCTTTTCGGCACTCCCTGTGGGGGCCGTCGGAGAGGAGAAATGAGGTGTGCCTCCCATGTCGGTCGGCAGGTCCCGGCTCATGATTAGGCGTATGTGGGAGGAGCCCTGGATGTCGCACCATTGATAGCGCTGTCTGTCCCTGACATCAACAATCCAGCGGATGTCCCCTAAACTGATGCCATGTGCCTGCAGAAGAGGGCTGCAGGCTAGCTCGATGGCCGAGGCAAAGCCGTCTTGTCTGACCTGCACCCCATAGCGATGACCCGGTTCTCGCAAGATCTCAGTGAGGACACCGTTAATGTCATCACGTCGTGTAGGACAGTCTGGTGTTGCATCCGTCCTGGAGGTGATTGTCGGGTCTCGGGCTGATCTGCGGGCCGGGGTACGGCTCCTGTCCTGCGCGCTGCCCTTGTCGTGGTCCTGTTCATGGTCCTGAGGCTCGGTGACTGCAGTGCTGGAGGATGAGGCCGGCTGGGCACGCTGGGCCGAAGGAGTGGGAGCGCTGACGGAATTCACATCCAGGAGTGTCCACGGCCACCCCTCTGGTGTGTCGCGTTCCCGGGTTCCCTCATCCGGAACCCTCTGTGCTGGGGCGTCCCGCTGAGTGGTGCCGGCTGATCGGCTCCCGCGGCTGCCTGCGCCAGCCTCCCTGGTCTCTCTTTGTTCCCGTTGTTCCCGACGTCTGGCTAGCTCAGTGCGTGTCCGTCTCCTCTCACCATTGGGCCGAACCCGTGCCCGAGGGTGTCTGCGCGGGCTGCGCGGGCTGTTTGCCATCTTGAGCCTAATCCTTGCATTATCCCTGCTTCGGGCTGACGGGGCCGAGGGTGAAACGACTGTTCTGGTGTCGTGTCGCCTCTTCCTGTTCCCAACGGGTCTAGGGGCCTCTTTATGCAACCTTCTATGGTCAATTGATTGCCTAAGTGAGATGGGCGCTGACAACGTACGACAGGGTACACTCGGTCTTGTGTGGTGCTTGTGTCCTAGAGGTCTCCACTCAAGGGTTCGCGCCTGCGAGCCCGAAGATGTCCAGGCAGTGTCTGCACAAATTGGATGTAGCTCGGAGGCAGCTTTGACCTGGGTGCAAGATCGCACTGTGGGAATGCAAGTGTCTTGCAATGGGCACGTTGGGTGGGTGATCCATGTGTCACACAGTCCATGCAGTGCAGGCACTCTCGACATGTATTGAACAGCTGGCATTGACTCCATTGCGTTGCACAATCGGCTCGCCTCTAGGGGGCCGTCAATGCAGTCAGGCCTATACAGGTATGGCATGAGCGCCTGAAAAAACTCTGGCCAATGCGTCTTCCACTGCAGCTGGAGATACAGTGCTCGGGGCAAATTTTGCAGCCCATCGTGCAAGTGGCTGGCGAGGCGGGAAACGCCGGCAAGGATGTCTAGCTCAGCCTGACCCTGTGTCGTCCATAGGGAGTGCATCCAGGATTCAACGAGATCTCCTCCTGTTTGCCAGCTCTGCACCTGTCCGAGCTTGTCATGCGTCAGCAGGGCACCAACCAGTGACCATATCCAACGACCGACGTTATCCGTGAGGAGCGGGCTGTCGATGTGCTGGCCCCGGATGTCGTAGGCTTCACCCTGCTGAGCTTTGTGGTATAGGTCGTGCCTGAACTTGTAGTGTCCCTGCATCTGGAAGGCCGTGAGGCTCGCCCCCGGGTTGCTAGGCAAGAGCTCGCCCAGAAGCTGCTTTGCTTTGCCCAGGTGTAGCCTTGCCGCAGCATTTAGTCCCTGGTGCGGCGGCACCCTCTCGGGGCCGATTGTTTGGGCCCTCCTGACCGCACCACGTGCGTCGCCTCCTCTTCGTGCACCACAGACCTCACCGCTTGTCTCTTCAATCGGATGCTCATCCGCCTTCATTGCGACGCTCTGCAGCGGCAGCCCCTGAGGTGTGTAGTTGCCAGGTGCGGCCTTTCCTGGCCTCTCGTTGTCGCTCGTCTGTGTGGCCTGGTCACACGTGACCGGGCCACACTGTACAGCGGCATGCTGCACAGCGGCATGCTCTTTTGCTGGGATTAACTCCTCCTCGTCCGTTGTTGTCTCCGATGCCACCGGGTCAGCTGTCGGGGTCCGTACCTCGTTCATCATGTCAGGTGTGGTGCCGTCCACGACTGGATTAATTGCAGGGGCCGGCACATCGGCCTCCTCCATGTGTGGCTCTCCTTGGTCTTGGGCCTTGATCTTCACAGCCTGAGCCGAGGAAGATGAGGGGCCATCACTGACGGTGCCTGGCTGTCCGTCGCCCTGTGATTCCGCCTCCTCAGAGTGCCATTCGGTACTCTCGGTCCACGAATTCCAGCCATGCCACCACCCTGTCGACTCCGTCGCTCCATGTCGCCACTCATTGTGGCCTTCCCACGACTGCCAGCCCCGTTGCCTCAGGGCCGTTCTGCGACGGCGACCATCTGCTCGGTAGTGCGAGCGAGGGTGCTCCCTAGGAGGGAGACCTCTCTCGGCTCTCGTGGTTTGCCTCATTTGAGCCCGAGGTCTGGAGGTGGAGATGCTCATGCAGGCATTGCATACTGGCGGCTCGGTACGCTCTGGTGAAATATGTGGTGCAGGCAGACTGCAAATTGAGTGTCCTGCCCTGGAGCGGAGGTCTGCATGTGGTGGGGCCGAAAGCGGCTCCCCTGCATCAGGCAGCGTTTGGAGTGCCCTAATGCTATTGGACTGACAACTGCACTCTCTCGGATGGCTCATGCTCTCACCTACATCAGACCGACTGCAGC